GGGGGGGAACGACAGGTGGGGTGGAGAATCTCACTTCTTACCAAAGTCGGCAAGAAGGGAGAGGTTCCCATTCTCAAGCCAACGGAGAGAAACTGGACGGGCCACTGTACCCAGAAAGTTTTGTGTACCGACTTCTTTTAAGTGACATCTAATAAAAGCGCCACACCGTCTCCAACCGTCTCAATTCATCAAAGATGGTGAGGGACATAACAGAACTGCTAGGTTCCACACGAGATTGAGGGGCAGGAGACCCCAACACCAAATATCTTCATTTCATTAGGGGGAAGAAAGCTAGAAATTCCAAGATGGCTCAAAGGGAAACAGAAACGGGCTTCAGGGACTAAATTCTGAGGGAATTATAAACCCATGTCAGTGCACAGCAAGGGAGAAGGGGACAACATCAAGTGAACTGGAGGCTTGGTTTACTGTGGGCAGACTGCTGGGGTGACCAGGAACCAGCACCAGAATAAGAAATCCAGAAATTCAGGGCAACCTGCCGCAGGTCTTCATGGCCACCATGATCAATTACAGTGTTCCTCTCCATTCTTTGGAATTCATCGGCCTTACTCCACTGTGCACCCCCCTCCTGACCCCCTACTTTCCAGCTCCACAGGTCTTACAGAAATTTCTCACCACCTGTATAAAAAGAAAAATAATTCAGCCTCTTGACATAACCCTTCTGAGCAAACAGGGTCTCTTTTTTCTTCTGCTCATAAAAGAAGGGGATTTCTTCCTCTGGTTTTTAGACCGAACGCTAGTAGTCTTCAGAGTGTCAAAGATGTTCTCCTGGGGGATTACACTGGCGCTGTGGGGTGGCAGGGTCTCGGAGGCAGCATCAGTTGGTGTCCATGCTGCAAGCCTCATCGTCCCCTGTGCCTTGCTGCGAGCTGCCTGGGCTCGTCCCTCCCTCAGAGGATCCAGGAAAACAGACGAGTGAAGGCGTCTTATAAAATTCATCATCTCGACGTTGGTAAAAGAGCACGTAAGCTGCTTTTGTCTAAAACACAAGAGGGGAAAAGTTCATTCACAGGTTGGAATTATCACTCTTTCTCCCAGCTTTTCGCTCACTGTTCAAAACCTACTTTCAGAGAACTGCCATCTTGTCCTGTGCATCCATGCACAGAGGCCACCAGGAACATGACCCTGCCCAGAGAGTGGGGAAGGGCCAGTGCCTGTGACAGAACGCAGAGTGGAGCTTCTCATTTAGGAAGGGTCCTGGAAGGAATGGCAGTCAGCTCTTTCTCTACCACACCTAGCTCCCACTGTCACATAAGGATGACCAAATAACCAACTAGCCCAGGAGACTCTTCCCAGCTTTAATCCGTCAGGTAAGAGGAGGAACCAAGTACTAGAGCCTACTCACCACTATCTGATCCTCAGAGGCCAGGGACACGTTGCTATCATCAAAATAATACCATTTCCCATTCAGTTTGTTCTTCGCATATGCAGTGTCTGCCAAGTCAACAAAGAAAACAACCTCTAGCAATCACCAGAGAACTAATCTGGCTTTATTAGGCTTGCACTAAACAATTAACACTCTAAAAAAAATAAAGACCCCGAAATTAAGAGTAATTTACAGGTGACAACCAAAAAAAGATAACTCATCTTTTTTTGAAATCTGTTCTTCCTCAAAAAGGGTAAAAATGGGGCGCCTCGGTGGCTCAGTCGGTTAAGCGTCCAACTCTTGATTTCAGTTCAGGTCATGATCTCAGGGTTGTGAGTTTGAGCCCCGCGTTGGGTTCCATGCTGGGCATGGAGCCCACTTAAGATGGTCTCTCCCCCTCCCATAATCTCTCTCCCTCCTGCTCTTAAAAGAAAAGGGGGGGAGGGGCAGTAAAAATGGAGTGTCAGGGACCAAGGTTTTAGGCTGTAATTTTGGGAAACTAATCAAAAGAACAGAGAAATCCAGTATCAATCTTCAGGATGGCTATAAGCAATAATCCAGAGCCAAGGCACCCATAAAGGAAGCTGATACTTTAAGATTTAAGCAAAAATGGCTCTAAAAAGAATAGGTCAAATCAAACCCCACTTGGTCCAGCAGATGGCTACTGCCTCTTCCTGCCTCTGGAGCCTCCGGGGTAATCCCGGTGAGGGACACACTGGGCGTTGGGTTTGCAGAGCTGGAATGTGGACAAGACGCTTTAAATGTATCTTTCTCAGAAACTGTGAGTCAAAGTCTGTGGCTGGGTAACAATTCCTCACAGTGGTCCAAGCATTCCCCACAGCCAACACTTCCTGTCTTGATTTTATAGTATTCCCCAGCAGGATGTGGTTACAACAGCAATCCCAGCAGCAACGAGCAATTCCTGTCCCCTCCAGACTCTACAAAATGACACTCTCCTGGAGAACTGGTTGCTAGTCTCCACCTGCTGCGTGACTTGGGGCCAGACATTTATCCCTCACCGGAGCACCTACTGCGGGGTGAGGAACAGGAAAAGGTGCCGAGGGCCTGCCCCTACTGTCCCTCTCCCTCTGCCCCTCTCCACTGCACGCACGCGCGCTCTCTCTCAAATAAATAAATAAATCGTTTAAAAAACAAAAACCAAAACCTACACATTCCAGACATTTTGGAAGATAAGGTAGAGCAAAGAGAACGTCTCCTTGCTTTTTGCTTTAACATAGTTGTGATGCTAGCTTCTGTAAGGACACAAGTTTGAACATGTCATGGGCATTTCCCCACACTGTCATTCATTTTATTTGGCAATGGCCGTGCACTCGACTGTCATGTAGATGGACAGCAGTGCCAACTGCTGGGTCACCGATGCAGCTAATTTTTCACTGTTACAAATACATGAATCTTTGTGCATAAAGCTTTTTCCCAATGTCAAGTGCTTTCCTTGGGATAGATCCCAGAGGTGGGACTACTGGATTCAAGAATATGAAAATCCGGGGCGCCTGGCTCCTCAGCTGGTGGAGCAGGCGACTCCTGATCTTGGGGTCATGAGTTCGAGCCCCATGTTGGGTGTAGAGATTACTTAAAACTAAGATCTTTTTTTTTTTTTTAAGATTTTCTTTATTTATTTGACAGAGAGAGAGCGAGAGAGGGAACACAAGCAGGGGGAGTGGGAGAGGGAGA